GAGAGAGAGAGAGAGAGAGAGAGAGAGAGAGAGAGGGCTGGGATAACTGCACTGCTGATGTCTGATGCTATATTGAAAGAAAGAGTTAATGCTTAAAATCTTTTATACTTTGACCAATTTTGCATGCTTATATCTGGGAATCTGAGCAACTGATTTGAAGACAACAACATGCAATGAAACAACCATTGGTGAATTCCTACCATCTTGTCTGGTGAAACTCTGTATTATCTCCAATGTTTTATTTAATAATTTTTTTATTCTCTTTAATGGCTTGAACAATCTTCCATTCTTACATCTGGTAATCTGAGCAATGTAATTGAAGATAACTATATGTAATACAACAAGCACTGCTAATTCCTATCATTTTGTTTTGAAACCCTATATCACTTTTAATGTTCTTGCTTTGTTTTATGTCTGTGATGTTGGTATGTTTCTCTTGGGTTTTTTTTTTACTCCTCTCTTTAAAATTAAAAAAAAAAGAAGCTCTTTGGAAATCATTATTTATAAACTATGTGAGGTGAGGCACATGAGGCACACCTGTAATCTCAACACTCAGGAGGCTGAAGCAGGAGGACTGCCACGAGTAAGGGGTTAGCCTGAACTACATAGTGAGACCCTGTCTCAAAAACAAAAACATGCTGGGCATGGTGGCACACACCTGTAATCCCAGCACTTGGGAGGCTGAGGCAGGAGGATTGCCACAAGTTCGAGGCCAGCCTGAATTATACAGCGAGTAATGGTCTCAAAAAACCATTACTTGCATATTGTCTTCAGAGATCAGAAAGTGGAAATGATGATAGTAGAGTATCTAAAGGAGTTGTGAGGTTTTAAAGCTACATTTAAAATCCTAGAAAAGCTTGGGATAAGTATAACATGAGTGTTCCCTGCTGCTCCTGTCCCCATCTCTGTCACTATCACCTGAGGCTTCAAGGCAGCCTCCACTCCTGAGCACATAGCAGCCCCGGCCCACACTTAGCCGCCCTCCTCAGGAGTGCCTCCCATTCCTCACCGTCTTCGCCAGATCCTGAAGGTGAGCTAAGTCACTGGCCTTGGCAGCCTTGAGAGCATTCAGTTCGTTCTGCTTCATCTCTGTGTCCTTATCAAATTTCTCCATCCAGAACTCCAGCTTCTCCTCAAGTCTCTGTTCAGAAGAACATGAAAACATGACTTCCACCAGACAAACAGCATCTGCTCTCTGGTGCCATTTATAAGCAAGACACTCCTGCAGGGACAGAAGGCAGAGCTGTGGTTATCTGGGGTGGGGGACACCAATTGGGAGTGGGCGGGACCTCCTCTGGGATGCCTCAGTGCTCTCAGTACCTTGCGGGTGGTGGCTGCATGGGTGTGTGTGCAGAAATGTTCCTTGGACTACACACGTCATCTATGATCTCAGCACTCCAAGGAGGCTGGGGCAGGAGGAGCTCGTGAGTTTAAGGCCAGCGTGGGCTACATATTGAGTTCAAGGCCAGGTTGAACTACATAGTGAGACCCTGTCTCAAAAAAAATGTAACTATATAAATAAAGGAAATTTAAAAATTGTAAGACTATAATAGAGCACAGCTTTACACTCACAAATCTGAAATCAGTGTTGAGATAAAATTTATAGGTTATATCACTTATGAAATAAGTATATAAGTAAAAAGTATAAATCAATTCTAGCAGCCTCTTAAAAGATTAATACATAGAATCAAGCAATCCCAGTAATTTAAAGATGACCCAAGGTCAGCAAATATATTGATAAGTTTTACTTTATTAGCATATGAAGGAGGACAGAATATATCTTGATGAAAAAATCCATCTCATAAAATTGAGTATTCATTGATTTTTAAAAAGAGAACCTGGGTGGGCATGGTGGTACACACCTGCAATCCCAGTACTCAGGAGGCTGAAGCAGGAGGAGCACCATGAGTTAGGCCAGACTGGGCTACAGAGTGAGTTCAAGGCAGCCTGAACTGCATAGCGAGACCCTGTCTCAAAAAAGAAAAATCTTTTAAGCCTACCGAGTAAACCTTACACTTGAAGATAAATGGGGGAAAAAACCCATTTGTGCCAGTATCAATTTATTGCCTCTCAGCTCCAAATTCACTGTTCACTACCTTGCTTGATAAACTTGACGCTTGCTGGAGACTGAGCACCTAGCAAAATACCTAGCTTTGTCAGTAGGGGGCACTCGAGGACAGGACGGCTGCTCTCCTGGACCCGGTGTGCTGCTTCTCTTCCGTTCTAAGGTCCCCTGTAGGAGGGTCTGGGGAGGGGCACCCAATGGCACTGTGTAACCCCAAGTTTTACTGACACTGACGCACGGAGTTTTGCTTCCCAAACATTTTGACTCAGTAAGGTTGATCCTAAGAATTTCAGATGTTTTGACATCAACAGATCTAGTAATGTATTTTAATGTATTAATATATTAAAGGAGAAAAGTATATATCTCAAGGGATGAAGAAAGTCAATCTTGTAAAACCAAGTAGTCATCTGATTTATTTTTTCTTTCTTTCTTTATTTTTTGGTACTGGGAATGAAACTCATGACCTTGCACTTGCCGGGCAGGCGCTTATGCCACTGAGCTATATCCACGGCCAGTCATCTGATTAAAAAAAAAAAACAAAAAACCTTTAGCAAAGTCCAGTTTGCTGCCTGTTAGCCTTACCCTGCCAGCTATGGAACAGCTCTAGGCCGGGGCGCAGCTACACGCTCTCCAGTGAGGTCTGAATCTCAGCCGTGGAAGCCTGGTCTTCACTCTTGGCAATCTTCCTGCCTCAGTCTCCCCTCCCAAGTCTTCTCCTCCCTGGCTCTTTTGTTCCTTCTTAGTAGTCAATCCTTTATTAATAGCTTGTGATTTTTCATTAAATTTTCTCGCTTCAAATTATTGGGATAGTGCTGATCAACTAAATGGAGCATTAGTGACAGAAGTGGTGCCAGAAATGGGGTTTATTCCCCACCTTCTAGTCACATATGTCCTCCTAAAAGTCATCCTTGCTACTTCCTGTCTGTTGGATACATTCAGCATACTGCCACTCATGCAAGAGGATGATGGTTGTGGAAAATAAAAACGAGCAGTATCTCTGCGAGATACATCATAGGACAGAATGGAGAAGTGACAGCCCTGACATGAGACCACAGAGGTGCACTGTTAGCCCTGCCAGGTAAAAGCAAGCTGCTGCTGGTGGTTTCTTCAAACTGGTTTGGAGATACGGGCTGTGACCAGGCTAACAACTGGGGCCACTGCAGATTTGGCCCAGTAAAGACCCTGTACCTCTCTAGAAGCTGCAGTTGGAGGCCCCACCTGATGACAGTCATCCACCCTTCCTTTTCCCAGGGTTACTCAACTTCCACGCAGGTCAAACAGCTAAGTGGGGATGTGGTTGACATCACCACCCCTGCTTCCTTCAAGACTTACAGTAGCACTCATCTTTGCAGTGCCACCAGGAGCAGAGAGGGCTCTGGTTTAACATTTTGGGGCTGGGGATATAGCTTAGTGGCACAACACCTGCCTGGCAAGCACCGGGCCCTGAGTTTGACTTCTGGTACAAAAAAGAAAAAAGACAGAAAAAAAAAAAGCCCCTTTAAAAAAAAAAACTCTTTAGAAAAAAATTTTTTTGGTAGGCAGCGGAAGCGGAAGGTCCAGAGCCCCTACTTGGCCCTTAGGCTGTACTGGCCCAGGCAGATGTTGGGAAATAACCACAGGGTGGGTCCACAGAACCATTGGGCCCACAGTGAGTGAGACTTTAAAGATTCCACCTGTCATCTGATCACCGTAATCCTGCTTTTGACTGGGGGTCAGTTTTACTGTGGGTCGCCATGAGGTAATATCAATTCAAAGTTGGCGTTTAGTAACCTCAGAAGGACAGGGAAGTGATCCATTTTGTCACAGAAAACATTTTCTTCACTTGCGTAGCATATGTGAGGCCCTGGGTTCAACCCCTAATACCAAGAAGGAGGTAAGCTTCTGAGCCGGGGGTGGCGGCCCACCCATCCCTGTAATCCCAGAACTCAGGCGGCTTAGGCAAGAGGGTCGCCGTGAGTTCCAGGCCTGGGCTACGTAATGGTTCATCTTGTACTACAAAGTGAAGACCCTCTCTCAAAAAAACACAAAAAAACCTCCCTTTCCAAAAATTTTTTATTGAGATGAGTAACGCTGAAAGAATATATGCTCTGCGTTCATTCTTCAGGCTGATAGAATCATGGTTAACGTTCCTCTCTTTCCTTTAAAAACAGTCTTTGCTCCCCTCAGCATTTCATAAGTGGACATTTTTACAGATCAGGACACACGAGCTTTGGTGCCTCACCTGCTGCTCCCTCTTCAGGAACATCTCGATCTCCACGTGGGTCCGGTTCTCTTCTTCGGTCTTCATCCTCAGTTTCTGTAAGAACGAGAACTGATGCCAGGGTCTGTGCCGGCCGAGGCTGGGAACCAACCCTGGCAGCTGACAGGAGAGGGCTCCGTGGCCCATGGGGCCAGGACAGAGGTGTCGCTCTGGGGTGGCACTCAGCCTCACCCTCCATCACCAAGGCGACAGAGCAGGTGCTGATGCCACACAAGGAGCAGCGTGCAGAGCCCTGGAGGCCAGGCCCAGCACCCGGCCACCTAGAAGGTGATGTACTGGCCCAGGCATGTGTTGGGAAACGTATGTCCATGGAAGGAAAAAAGCAGTGGGCCTCGAGGCCTCCAGGTTCCGAGGTTCTGGAACAGGAAATTCCAGAGTGCGAGAGACATGTGTCATCAGGGTAGAGGGCACCAGCTGGGAAGCAAGTGTCACAAAGGACCCCTCTGCCGATGGCCACGCCTGGCTGCCCCTCTCGTCACTTTTCTGACCCACTGGCTGTCCCTCTAGTCTTAGCATCCTCTCATGAAGGGCCACCCCTTCTTCCTCTGCCCTGGGAGTGCTCCATGACTTCTCAGCTCCCTAAGCTCAGGGCTGAGTACAGCGCCATGCTTCAGATCTCCTATTCCTTCCTGGAGGAGTACAGGGGCCTTCGTGTGGAGTACGCAGCAGCAAATGTGTCCTGGGACATGAGGAAAGACTTGGGTACGGTGGAACACGCCTGTAATTCCAGCACTCAGGAGGTTGAGGCAGGAGGGTAGCTGTGAGTTCCAGGCCAACCTGGGCTTAGTGAGATACTGTCTCAAAAAATAAAAATGAAAATAAAATAAGAGTTGGAGGTAGAGCTCAACCCCCTGGGTTCAATTCCCAGTACCACAATGAAGAAAGAAGATGGAGGAGAGAGGAAGGAAGGAGGATGGAGTAGAGGAGGAAGGGAAAGGAGAAGAGAAGGAAAAGGTCATGAGCCAGGATGTAGTCCCACATGCTGGAGAGGCTGTCAGGAGGACCACCTGAGACCAGGAGTTTGAGGCCAGCCTGGGCAACGTAGTGTGAGCCCATGTCACTCCCCCAAACCACTCACCAAGTTAAGTGACAAGCAGGAGATACAGGCTTTGGCTTGTCAGAAACTCTGCTTGCAAATACTTAGGTGTCATTTCGCCTTTCATGTTTGGCCTCGAGCACTGGGGACTGGTGGGTGGAGGGAGCCTCCTCTCCCTGCCCCTTTGCTGGCTGAGACAGTTTCGGGACTGGTCTTGCCTGGGTCCTTCTTTCTTCCCCTTTGGGGCTGGGGGCTGAACCCAGGGCTCTGTGCAGAGCCACACCTGCCACACCCGCCCCCCCTGCAGGGTGCGCTACCCAGGCAGTGGTCACCTCGATCTCCTCCAGCAAGACCTCCTCAGTCCGGTTACACTTTTTCTGGGTCTGGGCGACCTGCAGCTCGGTGTTCCTTTTCATGTAGTGATTCTCCAGGTTGGTTTTGGCCTTCAGCTCTTGCAGCTGGTCCTTGAGGTGGGCAATGTATTCGTTTCGGCTCTGCAGAAGAAAGACCGGGTTTCTAAATACAGAGTACCTTCCACCTCTGTGGAGCCTGGTCAGTGGCTTCAGCTTGCCTTCCTAATGTATGAATCAAAAAGGGACTGCAACTACTGTTCTGCTGTCACACGGGGGAAGCTTAGCCAATAATCAGAGTATAAATTAAAACGAAAGCTAGCAAGCAGTTCTAGGAGTCAATGGGCGTGGTGGCACACTCCTACAATCCGGCACTTGGGAGGCTGAGGCAGGAGGGTGGCTATGAGTTTGAAGCCACCCTGGGCTACCTAGTGAGTTCAAGGACAGCCTGGGCTACCTAGCATGACCTGGTCTCAAAAATAAAAGATAAAAAAATCAAGAGTCAAGGCTGTGAGATTCTTTTACAGGCACGGTGTTTGGGGACTTTGTCGCACACAGCTGTCCCATGACTATCTCATTTTGGTAGAAGTAGCGGAGGTCAAAATGCCTAAGTCCTGATTTCCTCACCAAGCCCCCACTCTGTGAAAGCAGCCAGCTGTTCATGTCTCTAGGTTCTCCCTCCTGTGGAATGGAAGCCCCAGTGTCCAGTCTGTCTGTACACCCCGACAGGAGGCAACCCTGCCCCGCTCTGGCTCTGCTGGGGATGACTCGGGCTCAGACCAGCCACTAAGCTCCGGGGCCAGAGCTGCTCTCAGCCTGCTTAGCATCAGCGCATTTTTTTTTTTTTTTAAATATCAGTAATTGAACTCACAACTTTGTGCTTGCCAGGCAGGCGCTGTGCTACTGAGCTAGATCCCCAGCCCCACAATTTACTTTTTTTTTATTTGCCTTTTTGAGGCAAGGTCTCACTATACAGTTCAGGCTGGCCTTGAGCTCACTTTGTAACCCAGCCTGGTCTTGAACTTGCAAGGATCCTCCTGCTTCAGCCTCCCGAGTGCTGGGATTACTGGCATGCGCCATCACACCCAGCCAAGTCAGCACATTTTTGTTCCTTCTTTCCATGCTCATCTTTTCCTCCCCTTTCTTCTTTTCTCTTCTCTCCTCACTTTTCTTCCCTTCCATTTCCAAATTGTTTTCAAGGTTTGAATATCTAAGAAGACTTGTGTTAAAGTAAAAATATGAGGGGTTGGTTTGGTTGGTTGGTTTTTTGAGATAGGGTCTTACTATATAATCCAAGCTGGCCTTGAACTCACTATGTAGCCCAGGGTGACTTCAAACTTGCAGCAGTCTCCCTGCCTCGGCCTGCTCCTTCCCTGCCTCCTGAGTTCTGGGGACACACAGGCGTGCGCCCACATGCTCAGCTCGAAAAGTAGAAATATGTTCCCGGTACCGGGAAAAAAAAAAACAAAAAAACAAAAAAAAAAAAAAGTAGAAATATGACTTCACTTCTCATCAGTGGGAATTCTTTTACCTATCTAAACCTTGAGACTTTCTTAAGGTCCAGTTTACAATCCCTTAAAAGCCAAGTCCCTTCCCCAGAAGCAGGAACGAATCACATGAGGAACACTTGCTTAGCAAGTGTGAGGTGCCGGGTTCAGTCTCCAACACACACAGACTCTCCTCTTTCTTTCTGTTTCTCTCCCTCTCTCCCTCTGTCTCTCTCTCTCTGTCTCTCTCTCTCTCACACACACACACATACATACAGGCTTCTCCAGAAAACTTAAGCCCACATCAATAATTATAGCTTTAGCCAGGGATGTAGCTCAGTGGTTTAGCTCCCGCCTGGCAAGCCCGAGGCCCTAGGTTTGATTCCTGGCACACAAACACAAAAAAAATTATAGTTTTGCTTTTGACAAAATCTAATAGCATTGGGCACTTATGTGTTCATTAAATAATGTCCATGTGAAAATATACTTGCAAAATTCAAGAACATATTCTGGTTAGCTTTTTTAAAAATTAAAGTGAATATTAAATCTTGTAATGTGAAGATCAGAAACACAGAACTCCAGGGTTTCCGCATGTGGAAAGCAGAAGATCTCTTGTTCCATAACTGTTCAAGTTCACACCACCCGGCTGTGCCACAGCAGAGGCATCTGGTTTTAATGCTGCTGCCTTGGGCTCTGGTTCTGCACAGCCACTGTTACAGCCTCCATGGCAACAGTGTGGAAACGCAGAGGAAGACAAAACACCAAGCAGTGAATGATGGAAACACCATGACCCTGGCATCAAAGCGAGCAAACTGCCAGTCATTTCCACCTCTTCCCTGTGCAAAAAGACCCAAACTAGAAGCAGTAGGCCAGGATAAGATGTCGAGTTCAGGAATTCCTTTTAAGATGTTCACAGATGCTAACTGTGGTGGCGCACACCTGTAATTCTAGCACTTAGGAGGTTGAGGCAGAGGATTGCCACAAGTTCAAGGCCAGCCTGGGCTACATAGTAAGTTTGAGGTCAGCCTGAACTATACAGCAAGACTGTGTAAAAAAAATGAAAAAAAAAAAAAAAAAAAAACACAGAAAAGAAATGAAAGATGATGTTATGAATGCCAGGTGTGGAAGCACATGCCTGTAATCTCATATCTCAGGAGGCTGATGCAGGAAGATTGCCCTGAGTTTGAGGCCAGCCTAGGTTACATAGTGAGACTCTTATTTCAAAAAAATAAAAACAGCTGGGCATGGTGGCGCATGCCTGTAATCCCAGCACTTGGGAGGCTGAGGCAGGAGGATCCTTGTGAGTTCGAGGCCAGCCTGGGCTACAAAGTGAGCTCAAGGCCAGCCTGAAATGCATAGTGAAACCCTGTCTCAAAAAGAAAAAAATTAAAATTAAAATAAAATAAAAACAAAACCAAAAGATTTTCATGGAGAAAAGCTCTGCCACAGCCTCTAACCCGAATGTCTACAGAGCTGTAGTTTTGTGCATGACCAGGGTCTGAGGGCAGATGTGGCATATTTGTGGGTTTTCATGGCAGACCCAACTTTACTCCCAAGTTCCAAAACTGCTTCAGACCTTGTTTGTGGGCTTGTTACTTGAATTCAGAGAAGCATGATTTAGTGACAGAAAGAAAGACTTAATCAGCCACAGCACACAAGTCCCTGAGGACTGGCACGGTGATGTGAGCCACGGGCTTTTCATGGTAGCGTCAGTTTCCTTAAGTGAGTACAGGGTAAAAAGGAGACTGTGGCCCTGGAGTTTTGGACTACTATCTTTGTTTGGATGGCAAAAGCAAAACGGGGAGTAATCTACTGAAGTGATAAATGCCATCCGCAAAGGTACAGTTGTATATGAAATTCACATTTTTGTCTGCTGATGCCTAAGGGTACTGCTGCACCCACAAAGGTCCTAAATCAACCTGAGCTACCTTGATCTCCCATTTGGAGTCTCTGCTTCCTCTCCCAGGGAGCAGGACACCATTCGTATCTTCCTTTCATAATAAATGCCACGCCCCTCACTGCCAGTGCCTTGGATCCTCGCATGAGCCACCTGAACCGCACAGTGTCACAGATGTCTAGCCATGAGGGGCAAAGGGCAGTCCCCACTGTATAAACACTCCTCAGTGCCACCGCCTGCAGTAACCAGAGGAAGCCTCCAACTGTTTGCTGTGTTTTATGGTAACGTGGTCAACACTGTTGAGACTCTGATGACAAGCCATTAAGAGCAGGTAAGCCAAGGGGCTGGGGATTTAGCTCAGCGGCAAAAGTGCCTGCCTGGCAAGCGCAAGGTCGTGAGTTCGGTTCCCGGTACCGGAGAAAACCAAAAAAAAACAAAAAAAAAAAAAAAAGAAAAGAGCAGGTAAGCCAGATATGATGGCACACAACTGTAGTCCTAGTGTTACAGACAGCTAAGGAGGTAGAAATATTGTAGGCAGGTCCCTCGAAGGAGCCAGTGCAGAAGATGGGATACACTGAACCGTGGAAAGACACAGATACATCCACTGAGGGACAGACCCATCAAAACAAAAGATGAAGAGAATACACCCATGTACTTTCCCCAAGGATAAACAACAGCAACTGATAGTCTAAATACATATAGGTCCCCTTGGGAAAGCCAGGAAGAGCCACTGACCCACCCCCTCCAGGAAAAGCCCCTGTTCTGTACGCATGCCAGCTTGCTACTGACTTGTTTTCCCGTTTGCTTCCCATGGAGCCAATATTACCTGAGCAGTTATGCCCATAATCTTCTTGGTTGATCACAGTTTTGTCCCACCTCATGCTCACCTTGCAATTCCCATTTTTCCTCACCTTGGACCTACCTCACCTCTGGTTTTGCTCTATAAAAATCCCTAGAAAACGCAGGGTCCTCAGCAACCCACCCGGGACCCCTTCTATCTGTCTCTCAGACAGAATATTCTGCTCTTAAAATCCATTGTTCCTAAAATTCATTCTTTGATTTTAGAGAACATGAACTTGTATTGGACATATAGCAGGTTGGGCGTTTCTTTCCCCTATATCATTTGGAGGTCTTCCACCAAGATCATTGGACAGAGGTAAGAGTTTGCTTTTGTTTCATAGACTCTGGATAGGGACTCTTAGGTAACAAATTTTTATACTTCAAATTTTGTTATGTCTTTGCCCACTGTGTGTAATTGCTTATGCTTTGTCTCTTATATAGTTTTGTTAAAATGGCGATAAATTTGTTAAAAACATGGGAAGGTTATAAAGTTATGATACTTCTTCTATTTTATTTATTTATTTATTTTTGTCTTTTTGAGACAGGGTCTCACTATGCATTTCAGGCTGCACTTGAGCTCACTTTGTAGCCCAGCCTGGTCTCAGACTCGCAAGAATCTTCCTGCCTCAGCCTCCCAAGTGCTGGAACTACAAGCATGCACTACCATGCCCAGCTTGTAATACTTCTTTAATTGGTCATTTTTATTCCTGTTCTATATATGCTGCATTTGAACTAGTTACTGAATTTACTAGTATTCCTTGCTTGACTTTAGACAATAGCACTAGAAAGAGTAATGTTAGAGTGCCCCCTAGTGGACTTTAATATAAACTTCTGTAAAATGAGTCTTTTTAAGTGAAATCTAGTTGATACTTTGAAAAATATATACATGCCTATATAATAAAACATGGGACTCCTTCCAC